GCAACCTCCACCTCCTGGGTTCAGGCAATTCTCCTGCCTCAGCCTCCTGAGTAGCTGGGATTACAGGCACGTGCCACCATGCCCAGCTAATTTTTTGTATTTTTAGTAGAGACGGGTTTTCACCATGTTGACCAGGATGGTCTTGATCTCTTGGCCTCGTGATCCACCCGCCTTGGCCTCCCAAAATGCTGGGATTACAGGCTTGAGCCACCACGCCCGGCTTTTTTTTTTTTTTTTTTTAAAGATGGGGTTTGACCATGTTGGTCAGGCTGGTCTTGAACTCCCAACCTCAGGAGATCCGCCCACCTTGGCTTCCAAAGTGCTTGGATTACAAGCATGAGCCGCCACACCCGGCCACCCTTCTAGCACTTTGATGCGTTCACCAACCCAGAAGCTCTCTGAACCTGTCGTTATGTGTTTTTATGGAGGTTTTGTCAAATCAGTATGGTCAATTAACCCAATCTTCAACCCTTCTCACTTCCCCACATATTGAGGGGATGGGCTGAAAGTTCCAGGCTTCTCATCAAGACCTGGTTTTCTGGTGACGAGGGCCGGTCTTTCTGGCGACGAGACCCCATCCGGCAGCTATCTAGGGCCCCAGCAAGAAATACATCAGTAGAACCAAAGATGCTTCTATCACCCAGGAAATTCCAAGAGATTAAGGAGCCCTGAATCAGAAACTGGGGACACAGACAAATATTAGGACAAACGATGGTCCTATCATCCCTATCACTCAAGAAATTGCAGTTTTAAGAGCTCTGTGTCAAACACCAGGGACAAAGGCCAAATATATATATAATATATATATCTTACTATGCCACACGTGCTGACTCCTTATTCTGAAATAAAAGTAAAAAGCAAACACCAAACCACAAACAAAAAGCCTCCACAATGTACAGGTGTTATGAGGTCCCATCATGATAAATCTATTGCAAATTGGAAATATTGTTAAATCAAAAATGCATTTAATGTACCTTACCCACCAAACATCATAGTTTAGCCTAGCCTACTTTAAATGTGCTCAGAACAATTACAATAATGGCCTACAATTGGGCAGAATCATCAAACACAAAGTTATTTTAAAATGAAGTGTTGGCTGGGCACAGAGGCTCATGCCTATAATCCCATCACTTTTGGATAATGAGGCAGGAAGATCACTTGAGCCCAGAAGTTCAAGACCAGCCTGGGCAACATAATGAGACCCTGTCTCTACAAAAACAAAACAAAACAAATTTCTTAGCCAGGCATGGTGGAGCACTTATGGTCCTAGCTACTCGATACTTGGGAGGCTGAGGTAGGAGGATCACTCGAGGCTGGGAGGTCAAGGCTGCAGTGAGCCATGATCTGCACTCGGGCTTGGGCAACAGAGTATGACCCTATCTCAAAACAAAAACAAAAGCAAAAACAAAAGGCCCACATGTATAATAAAGTGTTGAACAGCTCATGTGATTGAGTTCTGTACTGAAAGACAGAATAGCTGTATGGTTACCATAGTAAAGCTGCAAAATACTAAGTCAAATCATAGTAAATCAGGGACCATCTGTACTAAGCTGTCCAATTTTTTTTTTTTTTTTTTTTTGAGACGGAGTTTCGCTCTTGTTACCCAGGCTGGAGTGCAATGGCGCAATCTCAGCTCACCGCAACCTCCGCCTCCTGGGTTCAGGCAATTCTCCCGCCTCAGCCTCCTGAGTAGCTGGGATTACAGGCACGCGCCACCATGCCCAGCTACTGTGTAGTTTTAGTAGAGACGGGGTTTCACCATGTTGACCAGGATGGTCTCGATCTCTTGACCTCGTGATCCACCCGCCTCGGCCTCCCAAAGTGCTAGGATTACAGGCGTGAGCCACCGTGCCCGGCCCAATTTTTTTTTTTGAGACAGGGTCTTGCTGTTGCCCAGGCTGGAGAACAGTGGTGTGATCCAGCAGTGGCCCAGGGAACAGAGCAAAACTGTCTCAACAACAACAACATAAAAAGCTGGGCACGGTGGCTCACACCAGTAATCCCAGCACTTTGGGAGGCTGAGGCAGGTGGATCACCTGAGGTCAGAAGTTCGAGACCAGCCTGACCAACATGGTGAAACCCTGTCTCTATGAAAAATACAAAAATTAGCTGGGCATGGTGGCAGGTGCCTGTAATCTCCCAGCTACTCAGGAGGCTGATGCAGGAGACTTACTTGAACCTGGGAGGCGGAGGTTGCAGTGAGTCGAGATCACGCCACTGCACTCCAGCCTGGGTGACAGATAGAGACTCCTTCTCAAAAAGAAAAAAAAAAAGAAAAAAAGGACAACTTAGTACAGATGGTCCCTGATTTACCATGGTTTGACTTAGAATTTTTCAACTTTACCATGGTAACCATAGAACTATTCTGTCTTTCGGTACAGAGCTCAACGAATCACATTTTTTTTTTTTTTGACAGAGTCGTGCTCTGTTGTCCAGGCTGGCGTGCAGATCTTGGCTCACTGCAGTCTTGACCTCCCAGGCTCAAGTGATCCTCCCACCTCGGCTTCCCAAGCAGTGAGTTGCTGGGATCACAGGTGCAACACTGTGCCTGGCTAATTTTTTGTTTTTTGTAGAGACAGGGTCTCACTATATTGCCCAGGCTGGTCTTGAGCTCCCGGGCTCAAGCAATCCTCCTACCAAGTAGCTGGGATTATAGACATGTGCCAACATGCCCAGCATATATTTACTTTCATTAATCTATACTATTGCATCAATATTATTATAATGTTGAAGCATGTTAATTCTTTTTTTTTTTTTTTTTAAGACAGAGTCAAAAAAGTGATCTGCCCACCTCAGCCTCCCAAAATGCTGAGATTACAGGTGTGAGCCACTGAGCCTGGCTGCATGTTAAATCTTTTGAAGCAGGCCAGGCGCGGTGGCTCACACCTGTACTAGCACTTTGGGAGGCTGAGGTGGGTGGATTGTCTGAGCTTGGGAGTTTGAGACCAGCCTGGGCAACATGGTGGAACCCCATCTCTACCAAAATACAAAAAATTAGCCAGGCATGGTAGTGTGCACCCGTAATCCCAGCTACCCGGGAGGCTGAGACAGGAGAATCACTTGAACCCAAGAGGCTGAGGTTGCAGTGAGCCGAGATAGTACCATTGCACTCCATCTCAAAAAATAATAATAATAATAATTCTTTTGAAGCACACTAACTCTTCCAAAAATTAAGCTACCTTAAAGGAAAATAGAATTTTTTTTTTTCCTGAGACAGTCTTGCTCTGTCACCCAGGCTGGAGTGCAGTGGTGTGAACTCGGCTCATTGCAACCTCTACATCCTGGGTTCAAGCGATTCTCCTTCCTCAGCCTCCTGAGTAGCTGGGACTACAGGTGCGTGCCATCACGCCCAGCTAATTTTTTGTATTTTTAGCGGAGACAGGTTTTCACTGTGTTAACCAGTATGGTTTCAATCTCCCGACCTCATGATCCACCCGCCTTGTCTTCTCAAAGTGCTGGGATTACAGGTGTGAGCCACCGTGCCCAGCCAGAAAATAGAATTATTAAAATGAAAACACTAAGCAGCCTGTTATTATTTAACCTATGAATCTTAAATAGTAACTACACTTTTAAAAAGACACATTATTTTTATTTATAAAAATACAGACACATTACAGACACTT